TGTGTAAAGAAAAAGTCAGCACGTTAGATTGTGGTAAGTAACTGTAGCACTGTGGTGAGTTTCAAATTGGGCTTTATCAACTTACTGAGCTGTTATTTATTTCTCTGTGAATCACATAATAAGAACATTTCGGGACCCTCTAGTAATCATTCCACTGCCACACAGTTACTCTGTCTAGGAGCCACACCACTGGAGCAAGGCCCAAAATATTCACTTGTCTCCAAACAGTCATCAGTGATTTTGAGGCAAACAAAGCAGAACTGCACCTTACAACGTGTGCAGAAAATGTTTTTACACCCAGTTGTGCTATGCTCCACTAGGAAGCCACATGTGGGACAAGCACGGATTGAGGGACAGCCAGTGATGCCCTTCACATTCTTAAAGGTGATATCTGGACAGTTTCTCAGAATTTCTAAGGACTTATTGACACAGCCATCATTCTGACATCGGTCTGAACGTGGGGCTGTACCTCTCCATTTCCTCAAACACTGCCAGCAGAACATGAAGGTCCGATTTAGATCAGCTTTGCACAGTGTACATTTAACACACAGATTCCTGAAGTCAGCTCTCAGCACAGAAGACTTGCAGCCAGGACACTGTTAATAAAAAAAAGATTTTTTAAGGCACAACATTTCAACAAATATGGTGCATAAATAAAAACTGTAATGAACAAACTTACGGATCTGACATCAAAGAAATCCTTAGAGTTGCTGAACATTTTCTTTTCAAAGTACTCGATTTCTTCAGGGGTTAGAAGAGCCATTTTACAAACCTCCTCAAAGGACCACTCAGCATCACAGCCAGTCTGGCCGCACACAAACTTGCTCTCACCCTGAAATAGAATATACAAAAATACATAAAGACCAGAGGAAAATATTACACTTGATTGAATGCTTTATTTATTTATTTATTTTTGCTATTGAAGTAGGGCATGCCAGAAAGGAACTTTGAGAACTATACTGGTCTAAAAAAACCCTTAATCTATTCTTACACTGGTGACCTGTTGCTTAAAGTCAGGAAACTTATAAGGCTTTTCTGCTCCAACTTGGAACGCAAAGCACCACACCCCTCCCCTTTAGCCACACTTTTCCTGTCAGTAATAAAACAATACAATTTACAGGCTAAGTACCTAATAATTGTTTTTAAAGGGTTGGGCCATGCACTGCTCTGACAGAATGATCCTAACCATACACCAATTCCAAAGATCAACAAGCTCTTTGCTCCTATCCTTCCCTTCAAAACACAGATTACATCAGCTACAATTTGTGTTTGAAAGCACCATAGGTATAACAAAACATGTCACACAAAAGTTCTTGATTTCAGAGAGAGTTGTGAGTACTGCATTATATTCCAGTAAATGTTAAACGGGCACCTTATTTTGTGACACAGCTCAGTGGTCATGTGCTATACAGTCAGGTTAAACATCACTGTTACTTATTTGGGTTTGTGACTAGGTGATCGTATAACGTCCTACCTGATCCAGCAACCGACGACACCATTTGGTGAGAGACATGGGAGTGACAGCATGACCACAAGACATCAGTGCTCTCAGAGACTTGAAGTCCTCACATAAGACTGAGTCACACATGAAAACAAATGCTATTACGATTACACAGTGCACTGTAGGAAACTTACAGTTCTTGATGTGAACACTTACAATCCATTTCATCATCTCTGTCCACAAATGTGAGTGTAGGGTCCTCTGGGTTGTAACGCTTCATCTTAAATGTCAATTTGCTTGTAGAGTCCTGAGAGGGAGCTCTTCTTTCAGTTGTCAGCATGCTGTTCTGTAGATAAAGCCTCAGTTTTTGAGATCATCCTGACTCCGATTATGCTTTCTGGTCATTTGCGATAAAACCAGCAGATATCCAACAAAGAATATTTATTTAATTTTTATACTTCATCCAATGTATCCAGCATGACTCATTGTTGGAAATAACTAAGATCTAATTAATATAGCCTTTACTTGCCATAAAACCTTGACCAGGGGCTGACTGAAATAATAAATCAAAAAGGGATTTTAACTCTATTGGAAACTTCAGCTATTGCTACAGGGCTGCCATCATACGAGATTTTCTCTACATGATTAAAATTTCACACACACACACACACACACACACACACACACACACACACACACACACACACACACACACACCTTCATGGAGGGTGCTTTGTCTAACATTATGTGTACATAACTAGCAACTGTGTGCGAGTTGGTGCGCACGCAAGACAGTCTATAATGAGCAACAGAGCAGCTGCAGCTGGTGCTTTAATTCTGAGTGCTGTTGTTGGTGGAGCTGTAGAGGGGACCCTTCACAGGCGCATCCATCTGGTCCTTTGAGAAGTACATATGCGCACATGGGTGTGGTGCATGTATAATATTACAGTAAGAGAGCGAGGAAAAATTATGCCAACGTAACAGACGAATCATAAGATTCAAACAAAGTTAAGTGTTTCTGAGGTAACAACTAAATGGCCTAATGTACATGGTCTTTGCCAGTTATTTAATGCAAAAAGAAAACTGACGTAAGCGAGGAAATGCCAGAAGAAAATACATCAAACAGAAACTTATTTAAGTGTATGTGAAAAGGAAACGAAGCTAAATACAATAATAATAATAATAATAATAAATAACAACTTGCCAAATGGAGATCCGAACGGTGCGCCTTATCTTATTTTTCAACCACGATTAGAAGTCGCAGCGGCCCCTAGGTCTAAACCAACCTGTTGGTCACGTGGTCGCGGTATGACGTGTAACGGATGCTGACGTTTCTGTTTCTGAATCGTGGTCCAGTCGAAGTCTCTGTATACAAAGCATAGTGGCTTAAATAAAACGAGATTGCTTTTGTTTGGTCATTTTGGTCAATTTTGTCTACACAACCTGCCCGATTAATCTATTTTATAGTTATTTAGATTTGGGATATCCATACGACTTCTAAACCTCAAACTTCAGAAATATTCCGATTGAACAAAACCCTTTACGTTACAGTGATTAAGAAAACCGAAACGTACAAAAACTAAAACAAAACATTGCAAAACAATATAAAGTAAGATGAAACGAGCAAAACCCACCGTGGAAACTAACTGAAACTAAGCTGAACTGAAAACAAAAAAGCAAAACAAAACAAACAAGCACGAAATTCTACACCTAGAAACTACGAAGTTAAAATTTATGCACACACCTCATGTTGTAAGAAAAAAAAACTTCCTCTAGTCACCTTGATGTAGATGAATGGCGTGGGCTGCCTACTTTTCACAGAGGTGTGTCAGTTTTGCAAATTAATTTCCAATAGAGAAGAAACAGCGGTGAGCTACATTAAAAATTACGTTATGGAAAGTTTTTGCCCGTTTTTAAAATCGAGGGAACGTGTCTAAAACAGGGTGTGTGCCAATATTTTATGACCGGATTTTTTTTTTTTTTTTTTGCTATGCACCTTGCGCCCTTTGTGCGGATTGCAAGCGCCACTTGCCCCGGGCTTGCCCACTAACTCAAGAGCTCAAGTCACTTACGCCTCGTCTTTTGAAAATATGAAATAATCCACGTATGCAAACTGTCCTTAGAAAGAGCACCAGGAAACTAGGAAACAACGACGTCGGCACGAATTTGATTCCGGATCTATTTTTCAACTAGAAGATTATAATAGACCACCAGAAAAAAAGGTGAGCCGATGGTTGTTCAAAATTGAAATGATCGCTTGCTGAAAAAAAATGAAATAAGTCATAAAAAAACTAACCGATCTATTCATCAGTTTCCCCAATCAAAAGCTGTTTCCTTGAAAACAACAAACATCAAACAAACAAGGACGTAAATAATTACTTTTATAATCGTATCATTGAATATTATCTACTCTTTAAAAGGCAGGACCACTATTATAGAAGCAAAGTCAACCTCTGTCGGTCATGTCCCTATTGACTGGGGAGATAACATGACAATGAGGAAGAAGTACTTCTACTCAACATAAATATTTAATAAGTACAAGTATTTCGGAACGCTTATAGGCTGGATAATGGACCTCAGTGATATGTTGGTCTGTAATGTCGATATTGTTCCTACATTATATTTAATCTTGTCATTTTAACTGAAAAACCACATCGTTGTAATGTTATAGAGTTTTAGTGACTTGTTTTTATGAGCATTATTTCAGTTATATGGTTGTACCTTGGTTAAGCTGAGGCACCCTTTCACATAAGTCTTTACCATGGATTAGTTGGGACAACAAAGGATATCAAATTGTGCTTCACAGAACTGCCCAGGAAATGAATCTTTCCCCCAAATAAACTGAGATTAAAAAACAAAAACAAATTATCCAATTTGTTCAAGATGATCAGCTCCAGAAAACGAAACTTGGAAGAAACTAAACCGGAAGAGCAGAAAAAACTAAGGCAGGACACAGATGCAGGTGAGTTAAAGTCTTTTACTGTACACTTGTTGGACAGAATACAGTACGACATGCAGTAGAATTTATAAAGCCGTTACTGTAATGAACATGTAACCTATGAGCTATTTGATACCATATGAGCATGTGGCTTATATTAGGTTACATTATACCCACTGGTCTAAGTATTTTAGAAACTGCTGATCTGTTGGGATTTTCCAGAACAACAATCTCTAGAGTTTACAGACAAAGGCAGAGAATTGTTTTTCTTCTTCTTGTGTACAACTGTTCAACTGTTGTCTGTTATGGTTGTATTGAGGGTGTGAATGTGAGGATGGAGTAAAAATAAAGTAACCTGAATGTATCCTGAAGAAGCCAATAAGAAAGGCAACAGCAACTCAAATAACCATTTGTTAATACCGAGGTATGCAGAAGACCATCTCTGAATGCACAGCATGTCAAACCTTGAAGCAGATGGGTTACAGCAGCAGAAGATTACACTGGAGCCACTCCTGTGCACTACGAATGGGAACTGAGGCTATAGCTCACATGGCTAGACCTAAAAATGGACAATAGAAGACTAGAAAAATGTTGTGTGATCTGACTCTTGAATTCTATTGTGACATTCAGATGATAGGGTCAGAATTTGGGGTACATGAAACAACATGAAAGCATGGATCTGTTTGCCTGGTATCAGCAGTTTGGGCTAGTGGTGTGATGGTGTGACCACATGACCACAGTGTACCATCCTCCGATGACTGCTTCTAGCAGGATAACTCACTATGTTACATAGCTCAAATCATCTCAAACTGGTTTCTTAAATACATGAATGAGTTCACACTACTCGGATGACCTCCACAGTCCCAAAGCTAGACAGTAGAGCACCTTTAGGAGGTGGTTGAATGGGTGTGTCACATCATGGATGTGCAGCCAAAAAAACTGTGGCAACTGTGCGGTCATGTCAATATAAACCAAAATCTCAGAAATGCTTCCAGCATTGTTGAATCATTGTTGAATCTGTGTGATGAAGAAGACAAAAGTGGGTCAAGCTTGGTACAAACATAAATATGCTTGTTTTTCATTTCATGTGTTTCATTTTTTTCTACAGTCATCTACAAATGCATTGATGTGTTTTTCTTTCTTTCTTTTTTTGTTTAAGTAATCCAGCAGCAGAAACTTCATGGCCTGAAAAATCAAGGAGCCACATGTTATCTCAACAGTGTCCTACAAGTTCTGTTCATGACACCTGAGATTCATGACAGGTTGGAGATACTGTAATGCTTACATTACATCTGTACTCTACCTAACTTCAAAGAGGTGCAAATGAATGGTCAAATATGTGTTCTATGGTGTGGGTAATTGACTGTTGATTCAGCACATAACTGACAGGGAAGCTTCCTCTTCCCCAAAGGCAACATCATCTTAAGATTAGTTAGTAAATTAGAAAAAGCTAAACCTGAGAAATAGTGGCTCAATGCTGATATCTGCTTTTAGTTTTTAAGAAGAAGACAAATTAGTCAGTGTGTCTAATTTCAAATTGTTCTGTCAGAAAGGAGAGAAATCGAAAGAAAATAAATATTATTATGTCACAAAAGCCTGGATTTGAAATTAGAAAAAATAATACAAACATGTTGAATGGACAGTAAATAATCACTAATAAGCACAGATGTGCAGTAATCTGATTACTTTTTTCAAGTAATGAGTAAAGTAAGGGATTACTATTGCCAAAAAGTAATTAGATTACTCTTACTTTCCCAAAAGCACGCTGCGTTACTGCGTTACTGCATTACTGCGTTACCAAACCGTGATTTTGTTTGTTAGAGTGTCTCATGGCAATGATCAGCCCATTCTCATATTATGCTTAGGGAGTGAGAACGTGTTGCAATGATGTAAGTGCGTGTGAAGTTTGTGGTAGCAACAGACGTGTGCAGATCAACAACAGATAATATATCGAGTGCAGGAGAGAATACGACCATGTGTTTTACTTGCATTTATTTGCAAGAGTGAATGTAAACACAAAAATATTTGATTTTATATGCTGGAATATGCAGAAAATAGCTTTAAATGTTAAACAAATTTCTTCAAGTCAAAGACAGTTGCATATAATTTAATATTTGCTTGATGCAATGTGCTTAAAGTTAAAAGATTAAAACTAATAAAACAAGTTTTAAAAAAGAGACTTTTTCATTTGATTCAGTTTTATATGATGGATTATGCAGAAAACTGGGGTGAAAGGTCTATTGCTTTATAATGTATTCAGGTTGTGTATCATGTTTTTAAAAAGTAACTAATGCTAATAAGTGAGAAATAACTGTGACTGTTTTCCTGAAGGTTAGATCCAGAATCACAAAAAATAGACCAAGAGCTGAGAAACATCTTTGTATGTCTGAAGAAAAGAACGTGTGGAACAAAAAAGATAACAAAGACTTTGGAGATCCATAATGGTGAGATGAGCAGTTGGTAAAACATAAATTTCAAAGGTAAACTCAAAGAAAAGGTCACATAGTGGTTGCGATGAGTAACATTTACATGTAATTTTCAGTTTCTCAACAGCGTGATGCTGCTGACTGCCTAGATCTGATTTTATGCAAGGTCAGCCCACCGGTCTCTGAGGTGAGAATCTTACCATCCAAATAACACTGAGAAATCAGAAAGTTTTCTAACTGATATTTCTGTGTTAAAGCTTTTTGAGGGTCAGCTGATGTACACAACAGAGTGCTCCGAAGGCCACGTCATCAATGAAGAGACAAATCCTTTCTGGACTCTTCCACTGTCACTCAGAGACAACCCTGATGAAACATACAGTGTGGTGAGCAGCAGCTAGACTATACACTACTTATCTTATTGTTTTTGAATTCACGAAGACATAATTTTATTATTTTTTTCCCCAAACATAAACCTTGTGGTGTACAGTGGGATGCAAAAGTTTGGGCAACCTTGTTAATAGTCATTATTTTCCTGTATAAATCGTTGGTTGTTACAAT